CCAAAGTATATATATATATGTATATATATATATATCCAAAGAAAACATACATTCATGCATATATTAAGCTTATACTTACTTGGTCTTTGGTCATGTTGGGATGACAACTGTCGGCAACAACTGAACTCAAAAACTATTTGTAATACTAAATAGTTCACTTATTTAAGAGATAGGGTTGGCAATAGTGTTGGATATAATCGATACATACAAGCCTGTCTTCATATACATACACTCGTATATTTCTTTTATCTAATATTTACTATGTAAATTTAGATATATACAAACAGCGGTTTATATATCAGTATTTGATCATGTGCAATCTACAGATCGGTCACCCAATACGGCAAACGCAATCCAACTGCTTGACGATATTTACAAATAATAATGTTTTACTCATTTTTATTTCCGTACTTTTGATAAGAAGTTATTTCAATAGTATCATAGCCCCCACTAAATAGACGGCTATGATTCGATAAGTCCTACGGACTGTCGGACTCCTCCGTTCTACCTTTTACTTTTCGTTCAGAGTGAGATGGTCATAATGTTTTAGGATTTATTCCATAGCCTTCTGAATTCAACATTTATTCGACAAAAAAAATATTGTTCTCTTGGGTTTATTAAGGTTATTGGTATCTCTATAGGGTTTGGTATAATACGCCGCCTTGGCTTCTAAAAACCCTAGAAAAGCATACGGTAACAATTATGTTTTTAGGGTTTATTTTAAACACATAGTAACAATTATGTTATAGTGCACACGACACACATCAGGTATTTACGTACATGTTACATACATAAATATGCATAAGCACATGTATATCTAAAAAGGCGTACATATCTTGGAGAAGCATGCTTTGATCTTCTCAGAGGTGTTGCACTTGTACGTAGGTAATAAATAGCAATAGAGATTATGAGCGTTCCCTCGAGGTGGATGCTTTAAATACCCACATGTCTGGGTATAAAACTGTATGGCGGTGGCCTAAACGTGTCAGAAACGCACACACAGCAGGCGTGACACATGCAACGCATATCAAGAATGATGAAGTGCATGATAATCTCGAGGGTGCAGGTGTTGTGCGGGGAGACGGTGGTGTGGAGATCACTGCACCCGTCCCCAGGTTAGCGCTAAGGAATCACACAAAAGATGGAGACACTGTATATGTGAACGGACAGTACCAGAAATCTTGGAGATGGTCTAAAGCAAGAAGCACAGCACACACATCTGAGAACACAGCTGTACCAGTAGAACATGTTAAGACTGGTGTCACATCAGAACGCCTTGTCACGTCACTAGATGATGTGGATACTAGTGTCGCATCTGAGGGGGTCGATGGTATAGGGCCGTGTGTAGAGCCTTCTGGATTTGTAGCTGAAACCGTGCCTATGTATGAAGGAACCGCATCTCTATCATACATCGCTTTGAATGACGGTGACATGCATGTGGATACGGTTACTTCTGCATCAGAGACCACATCACACAGTGTCGACGATCCTGAGCAAGTAGCGGAAGAATACAGGCTACAAACAACCGCAGGAAGTGATATACTCCCCACACAAGGAGAACCCGCACATGAAAGTGGTGTCACAGTCGTTGTTACACATACACATACAGTCGGGGCTAAGCCACAGACTGCCACAGAAAGCAATGCAGTCTCCTCACGCCGGCAGATCGCACACGAAAGTGAAAGTGAAATTGAAAGCCTTGAATCAGTCACGCAAGGTACAATCTGGGCTAACCCACAAGCTACTGCAGGGTGTGCTATAGTCACCAGTCACCAACA